TTAACATGAGATAACCGAAAATGGAATAATCATGTGAAAACATTTTTTCTTCTGATCATTGAGAGACCAATAATCTTGTGAAGAAATGACTTTTCTATTTCAGCGTAGATATGAATAATTATATGTCTTATAATATAAGTAACATACTAATGATGTCATTTACTTATGACTTCTGTTCTTTTAAAAACGAATTTAATAGGTAATTTATGCTATTTTGTCTCTGTTGTCTGCATATTCCCCTCGTTGGATGGAAAGAAAACAACAATAAATACAAAATTGAGCAAACCACAGCCCAGAGAAGTAAACAAAATTTCTCCAAGAGAATCAATAGTGAACACGGAAATAGAACTTAAATCTCAAACCTCTCCCTTAAGTGAACATTATATAAAATGTCATCCCCTCCTCCAGAACAAAAACAAAACAATAAACTGCAAATGCACAGTAATATGTCTAACATTTATTGACTGATTTGTATTTGCCTGGTATTGTGGTACATGCTTCAGGTACACAGCTCATTTAATCCTCATGACACTTCAATGTTCATATTTTAGTCTTCCTGTACAGAAGAGAAAATGTGGTTTATAGCAGCTTAGACACCTATCAAAAATCGCACAGCTACTACCTGGCCAGGTGGAATTTTATCTCAGGTCCCTGTAACTCCAAGTCCAACCGGTAAGCCTCCCCTCTATAAAGCTTTACGTTACTGCCCTGCCTTGAGGTGCTGTGTAAGCATCTAAGCAAGATAAAATAGGTGGTTCAGTGAGACTGCTGCTTGATGACTTCTATATAGAGCCTGATTTTCCTCTATTTAAGCTCTAAGTGAGTGGCTCTCCCAGGCCTCCAATTGCCCCAAAACAGTAAAGAATTTCAACCTGACTTCTCCCTCTTCTCTGGCCTTTTTTTCCTCTACATGCAATCAATTACCAATTATATCAATTAGAATTCTTTAGAGTTTCCCATATCTTCACATGTCTCCTAATGTTGTCGTCCTAGCTCAGACCACCATAGTGTCCCAACTCTTCCACAGCAAAATTCTCCTAAGTGGTCTCTTGATACTTCATTTCACTCCATCCCAACATTCTCCACAAACAGCCAGGATGATTGATCTTTCTAAATTACATAGATATGTTTGTTTACAGTGGAAGGTGCTTGTCTACGGCATACTATGTATAGTTAATGTTAATGTGACATACAAATCCTTTGAGACCCAGGCCTTATAGTCTCTTCCCTACATGAAAACGCTTATCATGCTGAATTATATACAAACCCACAGAAATACAGTGCTCCCATACCTGTATCTCTGCCCATAGCATTGAGCTTGGGCACTCTCTACTTTTTTTTTCCTTCTTTGCTTACCTATCCTTCCAGTCCTTAGTTCAGATATTTCTTCTTTTAGAAAGACTTCACCAGTTATGCACAATTGAGTGAGCTGGCCACTCAGAGTTATTTGTGATATCACACTGTAACCATCACATCACTGTCTGTCTTCCACAATATGCTGGGAGCAACCTACGGAAGATCCAGGTCTCATCCTCTATAATCTTGTACCTCCCACACTACAAGGTAGACAGAACATGTCAAAGAATATTTGTGAAATGAACAAACATGGGGGGAAATGGAGAGAGAAAGGAGGAATGAAGCAATGAAGGGGAAAGGGGGGAGAAAAAAGAAAGAGCATAAGGGATAAAACAGGAGGAAAGGGGAGAGAGGAATGAAAGGGGGGAAGAAGCAAAAGAAAGAAAGAAGAAAGGAAAGAAGAAAAGAAGGAGGAAGGACGAGAGAAAGAAAAAAATGAGGGACAGTGGGTTGGAGGAAGGGAGGAAGAGCCTATAAAGTCACAGAAAAATGGAGAATATTCATTCTAGACTCCTGGTGGAAATTTCTGGGGAGGCTCTCCAGGATTGCAGATGTAGTGAAGGGGTCCTAATACTAAAGAATGTCAAGATTAAATATGACCTAAAAACAACTGAGTTTGACTTCATCTTAAAACTGCACCAAAGACAGGAGATGTGACTTGTTTAATCAGCAGAAAACAAATAAGATACAAACGCAGGTTGGAATCATCTCAAAATCCAAGTTCTCTTCACCACATCTGTCTTCCCAGGGACACAGATGAATCAACAATGACAGCAGCAGTATGGTAGTTTAGGGTATTTGGTTCCTGACTTGGGGCTGTGCACACTGCTTTTTCTTTTTCCAAATGTTTTACTTAAAGCAAAGAACTTCACTTTTCAAGGCAAGTGTAAGTAAGGCAAGATAACCCTTTGTGGTATTTTGAGGATCTTTCTGCTCTGTGCTCTCTGTTACTTACCTTAATCCTCTAAGAAGCCCAGAGTTTTTACTCACCCTTCACTTTGTCATGTATCTTCTTGTCTGGAAGGCCTCTGCTGCCATTTTCAACTTTTTAAATCCTTTGTATCTTTTGGAAGCTTTGTTTAAATGCCTTTTCCTCCCCGAAGCCTGCTTTAGTGTCTCTGACATGAAATAATCCATCTTCTTTTCTCTAATCATACATTGTACATTTCTTTTTCTCGTGTGCCCTGACCACAAATCGGACCTTCAGTCCATGGCACGATGCCCAACCCACTGAGCCACCCAGCCAGGGCTGTTCATTTCTTTTTCAAATATGAATTGGCCTATGATTTTTATTATATATTCATGGTTATATATATTTTTCTCACTAAATATATACTCCTTTCAGGCTGGACTCATTCTTTCTTTGTCTTTAACTCACCTAGTAGAAACTAGCATAGTAGCTTTTATATGACATACATTTCATGTTTTTTATGTTGAATTAAGCTATAGAATCCATTTTCCAACTCTGAAACCTGTAGCATCCTAAAAGATTAACAGGGCTAGAAATTCAAAGCTAGAAATGTTTTGAATTACCCCTTATTTTAAAAGTGTTCCGTGGGTAGGCTTTACAAAAAAAAAAAAGAAAAGATATTTGTCCCATCTTTTGTTCAACAGTCATTTAAAATGAGCTGTTAATATGGGCCAAACGTAGTATATATATAAGGAAGGAAGCAAGAAGAGCAGTATAATTGAGTCAGGGAGTGTCATAACCTTCAAATTAATTGATCATACTATGATTTCATACTCTGGCCCATTGAAGGAGCAATTAATAAGATTCATGTCCTTTTAAAAATATTGCTAAATAAAGAGATTATTGGAAGAGAAGGGGCCTCATTTGTTACAGGTTTCATCTTTTAATGTGGAGACTTCTTAGAGAATATTTATAGTAATATATTTCAAGCATGGGAAATAAGGAAGAAGCTAAGAAATACTCACTAATGCTTGCTCAAGGTTAGCAAGGATTTATTCGAGGTGAATAACCTAGACTGCTCATTCCATTCATTTTACCCAGAAGTGTTCTTGCCCAGAGCAGATGGCAAAGTGGTCAGATGTAGTAAAATGCAAAGAAGGCATTTTAACGTCCAGGACTCCCAGTTTCTTTCAGTGAGGACTGACCCTTTCTAAACTTCCATTTCTTATCAAGCGAAGTGAAGAGTTTCATTAGCTTAAGCAGAAATATCTTCAAAATCTTTTTAGAAAATATTTTAACAATGCTTTTAGGTGAAATTTTGTAAGTCTGCTTTTCAAACATACTTGTAAGTCTGCTCAAGTCAAGTGTATTTCTGCGTTATTCACCTAGTACCGACAGTCCAGATTCTGGCAAGCTGATGGCAGCACTTTTATTATCTGTATTTTTTATTATCTGTATCTGAGCATTGTTCAAAGGGCATTGTTTGCATTCACTGCTTATATGCATGAACAGATAAAATGCATCACTGGACTTACATATAGAAGACATCATTTACAGTAGTTAATTCTATCATAATTTTCAAAAATATAATTTTTTAGCACTAAAGAAATATTTATAACTCCATTGGTCTTGAAATGTCATGTAGAAGTCAGAGGAAAATTAAAACCAAGAAAAAATGGTAAGAAAAATACACAGCAAAATAGAAAGATTATTGCTTTCCATTTTTAATTCCAATTTGAGAGTTGAATAAATAAAATTAAAAGAAAAAATATATACACTTGCTCTTAGATATCTTTCCTAAGCTTCATAGAGGTTACATTATAGTGTTAGAACAATTTATTCCTTTCAGAATGTACATATGGGAGCATATTCGGTGCTATATATTCTTTATTGGACTTCCTCATACATTGTTTCTTCTTCTTACCTACACTTTCTGAAATCTCCCTAATGAAGAGTAGCTGATTTTGGTATTTACTCAGTTCTATATCTCTCAGATTCTAATAGCCACAAGACATGCTTTTAATTCCAAAATTATTCTTTTTGAGCTTCTTCAGTGAGAAAAATAAAATCTTCAAATGTCAACTACTCATTCCTTCTCACGTAACATCTGGCTCCCAAGGGCAACTCACTTTTAAGGGAGGGTTTCCTAAATCCATATCTGTCCCCTGTACTTGGAACACACTGGATGATGTATTTTCCCTCAGAAAGTTTTCTCCTACTTGGGAACTGCTTAAAATAACATCTTTCTATAGGGTATTAATTGAGTGGGTCTGATATGCCTTGAGTTTGATTACTCAATTCAGTTTCTTAGATTGCCATTCTTTAAGAAAGTCTACCGTACTACTCTTAATGCTATCATCAATATTAGCAAATGTACACTTAAAAAATGTACCAGAATGTTCTTTAAATTGGTGCATGTAGAACAAAAGAGGTGAGTTTCTGGAGGGCTCAGTGACAAGGGTTATATCATTAACCTTGTGCAGATTCATCCTTATGAAAAAAAAGGGATTATTCAGTTACTTCATCTTTAAAATGGAATGATAATATTTACCTCATAAATTAGCTGTGAGGATTAAATGAGCTAATAGCGAAAATTCAGTGAGTAGTGAAGAAAGAATTGGTCAGTCCATGTTGGCTATTATTATCATTAATCCCAGTGGACACAGGGAGGCGGTGGAGCTTTGAGAAAATTTGGAAGGGCTTGGGTGAGAAAAAGAAGTTGCTGACTTCTTACCTCCAGGGAATCATCGGCATTCACCATCCAACAGTCTGTCCAGGTGGCTACAACCAAGAACCCAGTGGAGAAAAAGGCGAGGAAGCAGGCGACATACTGCAGAAGATCTCTCATCTTGGTGAGCAGCCGTCAGGAGGGGCTGCATGGGGAGCTGCCGGTCCTTGGCCTACTCAGGTAGCTGGAACGCTGTCAGTCTCCTGTGTCTCTGGTACCCGGGGGGTGTAAAACTACTGGTCTTTTCCTTTTCCTCACACCCCAGTGCTGGTGTCTTAAGTTGCGGTAAGCATTACACAAACAGACTGTAACCCCCAGAAGGGTCCTGGAGGTCATTATCCAAAACAGCCAGCCTCCAATCAGAAGCCAGGTCAGTGAAAGGACTGTGTATGTTTTGTATGGGAGTGAAAAGGGGCCCTCGGTATATTTTCTGCCCAGACCACTGGTTAATGTGGGATTATGGTCACCAAGGCACATGCCAGCCCCAAGATGGAGAGGAAGAAGGGTCATATCCCGTGCTGACGCCTGTAAACTGATCTTTCTCAGGCCCTCCAGGGAAAGTGAGCTATTCTCCTCCCCCTCCCTAAGGAGGCTACATGGTTGACTGAGTGCTATTTTATTATTAGGACTATTTTAATATTCGCCAACTACCTTAGACAGACAGGCCACTGGTGAAACTGTGCCAAACAAGTGCTTGCTCAAGGGAGTTTGCATTCCAAAGTGTTGGGCAGAATAGCCCCGTGAAGGGTTTCCAGCACCTGGGCCCCTGGCAGAGCCATGGCTCCTAACCTTTCAGCATCAGAGAGCTGGAAGGAGAGCACACTTTCACCCAGACAGCTCTGGGTGGAAACCCCTGGTGTGCAGCTGATAGGCTGAGGGCACTTGGGCTGCATACTTTCTCCATAAGAGGTTTATGAAAATTAAATGACATTGTTACTGTAAACAAAAAATAGCTAAATGATAAATATTAACATGACCAAGAATTCCCAATTTCTGATATGATTACTTTTTTTCCCAGTGTCTGAAAATTTGCTTTAAAAAACCCCATCTGTTTACGTTAGAAAATTGTAAGTTTCTCTATATATTGGAGGTAACTATAGTTTTACTTGCACCTGAACGGGCCGCCTTCTTGGGTATAAATATTCCATAGCCAGTAGTCTTTCAATAATAACTAAAAGGATGTACATACCCTTATTTTATCATCATATATACTTCTCTATAGTAAAATGCGAACTTCAGTGATAATAATAAAAATATTTTACATGGTTCTCAATGCAAGAGAGAATGAGAAAGGTGGGGAAAAGAATGAGAAAGAAATTAACAGGGAAAATGACTAGAAATATAATAGGCCATTACTCTGAAAAGAATTGGCCAGTAAGTTACTTTAGTTACTGCATGAAGAAATAACTTTTTTCTATTTAATAATGCTTTAGTCATAGTATTTAGAGTAAAAGGCTAAAATCAGGTTTGATACACCATCCTTCAAGATTATATTAAAATAACACATTTTGTGACTGAAACATACTATTTTCTCGTTTTAATTCATTTGTATTAAAATACGTAAAAGGAAAATTTAAATGTAAAATTAAATCTAAAAGCTGGATGTAAAACCATGTTTAGAATATCAACCTAATTATTGCCATAAATAAAGATGTTCACATTAACAGCGGTTATCATTATTAGTTTGTCAGGTAGATTACAGATGCTTTCAATTTTGCTTATTTTCTTTATTTGACTCCATGATTGTGAAAATAATACTTATCTTTCAAAGTGCTCATTCAGATCATGCAACCACCGCTGGTGTAAGACAGCTGCAAAGCACACATATTGTTTTGGTGACTCGCAGGCGAATCTTGTCCTGTGCCCTGAAATCTAAAATGCTCATGCTCTATTGATCTGGGAGAGGAAACTAATTCCGAAAGCACATGCTCCTTACAGGAAAAGCCCTCGACTTAGCTGCTAGCTTTCCACCCAGAGACCTTTCACAATGTGCTTTTCCTGCTAGCAGTGTGCCCCAAGGCATTGGATCTTAAACTTGAGTGAACACTGGAATCTCCAAAGCCATTTGCTCTAATGTACCTGGGACTTCAACCCTCAGAGATTTGGACTCAGGAAATTAGGAGTGGAGGACAGGTATTCACATTTACATATGTCTTATATAAAATTCTGGTTCTGAAATAGATGATCGTGCTTTGAGCAATGAAAAGGAAGGAAAGAAAAATCTACATTAAAGCTACCATACTGCTGTACAGAGTCATACAGAATGAATACAAAGCTACCATACTGCTGTAGAGAGTCATACAGAATACAGACAAAGCTGTGTGAAGGGGGATGTAAGAATTACATTTGTGGTAAAAACTCTTCCCTATCTAGTACCAAAAGCCCATCTCAAGTCCAAATATCGGAACCGAAGGGAAAAGATTAAGGAAAGACATTGAGTGCACATACACATTCTACATGCAAGCATACACAAATACACATTGATCTCTGAAAATCAAAGATTCTTTCACAAGAAAGATACAGACTATAAATGATTTCTTTCATTCCCAACATTGTACTAGGTGTTGTATATTTACTACTTTTAGAGAATAGCATAAGAAAATCATGTTTAAATGTTAATTTCTGTGTGTGAGGCCATAATATGAAAGGATATCCAAGAAAGGAGAGCCATGCAGACTAACAACACAGGAAGGACTTCATGGATGGGACGTGAGGGCACTTCTAAGAAGAGATAAATGTGCAGGGAGCTGTGAGGATGGAGCATGCAGATGCAGAATAGATCGTTCACAAGTCTACACAGGCATATCATTACACTTTCTGTCTATGCTCTTAGCTTCCAATATTTAGCTTTATCAACTCAAGCTTACTTTACTTTCACTGCATTGAAGCCTACACTGACTCCAACACTCCACTAGGTCCAAGTGACACCGAGTAAATAAAAGGTGGAAGATCTGGCCCCTGTTCTTAAAAAGCTGCAGTGAGGGGACCAGAGCCAGGCTCATGGTCTGAAGTGAAGAGCCCCATTCAGGTGATTCTGATTACAGCCAAGTATGAGAGTACCACTCCTAGTAATAATGCACAGATGCATTAGGTAGGGATATGCCGGGTTTCCCAATATAAGATAAACACAAAGGACAGTGATCACTGTCCCATTGGCTCAGTAGTATTTACAAAGTATTGTCAAACACTTTATCTCATCTAAGCTCCTTGAAGATGGACAGCTTTGTTTTTTTTTTTTAACAACACATCTCAGGTGCTTAAAATTCTGCCAGATACATAGTAGCCTCTTAACAAATATATTGAATTTAATTTAGTCCTCACAGGCTCGCATTTTACAGAAGAGGAAGTAACATTGGACTTGCTCTTTCTGAACCATCCTGGGTCCCCCAGGATAAAAACTAGGTTGGCAGAGTGAATTGATCATCTTTCTAGTGCCAGAGATCTTTGTCAGGCACAATATCTGCGACATTTTATCTATTCCTGTGAACTGTGTTCCCACTCAGCCAGGATTTGCACTACTCCTGGTTGGAACTTTAGAGCCACCTGGTGATGAGGTGAGTGTCGCCCTCGGTCTGGATGTTGCTGGAATGAGGTTAATTGTATGACTAAAAACACTGCAATTGCCCCTTTGTCCTGTAGGTGGAAGCAACTCTGCATTTTCCATTGAAAAAAATAAGTTGTTTTCTGTTAACTCCATTCTTTCTGTTAATGCCTCAAGCTATTGCTGCTCTAATCATTATATTCCTTACAAGAAATATGCTGATTTATACTTCATCTTATGAGCAGTTTTATCACTTCTTTTTAATTGGCCAGTGCCCATTGGGACAATCTAAACAATATAATCAGCTGCTGTTGTCAAAGGCCATGCTGACTATAATTAATGGCAAAATTAATCAGTGGTTAAAAGCTTGGACCTCAGAGCCAGAGAGACCCAAGTTCAGGCTAAGGCATTAATACATGTGAGCTCTTGGGCAAGCTACTTAATAGCTTACTCAATTAACCAAGGATAATGAATTCTGTCTAAGATAGCTGTGAAAAATAAATAATCTGTGAAGTTCTTGATACAGTACCTGGAAAATAACACACAATCCATAAATTATAGCTATTACGATATTTATGTTACAACATTTCTCTTCTACATATGTACCTCATATAAACATATATATGGGGGGGGCTTCCCCCAAAATGGAATTATCTTCTGGAGAGTGGGTCCCTTGTAGTACAGGCTTCCCCTGCTAGGTGAGTGTTCCAGGAACCCATCTGTATCGGTGTACCAGCTGCCATTGTTGTGAGAAGCTGTGTTCGGCTTCACTGAGTTTTTTTGAAGACTCTTTCAAAGCTTTTGCCCATTTCATGATGGGTGATTTACCAGTGCACTTGCCCACAGCAGGCTGAGTGCTCAGCAACGTTTGACCACAAATGGCAAGATCCCCCATGCCCCACCCACCCTATTCACCGGATCTCACCTGAGCCACTTTTGTTTGGTTTCCCTGATGAAAAAACGTCCACAAAGGAAAACCTTTTGCCCATGTGGGAAGCATGAAAGAAAAGTGTCAGAAGCACTAAAAGGCATCAAAATTGATGAGTTAAAAAACTCTTTTGAACAGTGGAAGAAATGTCTCAGCAGGTATTTGCATCAAATGGAAAGTACTTTGAAGGTGGGTGGTGTTTAAACATGTGAGAATAAATACATGATTTTTATAAATAAATCCTGGGGTTTTGGTTTCCCCTTGTATGTATCTGTGTGTATGTATATACACACATACATGCACACTCGCAGTACATGGCCAGCACAAATAATGCCCCTTTTCTATTAAAACATCTTTATTACAAAATCATAAGCATGTAATTTTGTAACAACAATATCACACTCATGCATACCATATGACACTTTAGGTGAAGTGTTCAAATTCAAACTATAAATTATTACACCCATAGTATTACCCTACCAACCACACTCGAGCAGGCGTTACTTCTGCCAGACCCCTGTACACGTATGTATGTATGTATGGTATGTAATGCACACTTGTGTATGTATGATATGTATTACTTAGTAAACTAAACACAGAAGAAACAAAAGGTTTAATCATGAAGAAATTTTATTTTTATCTCTTATGATCTTTTCAAATCTACTTGGTTTGAGACAATTCTTCCCTGCCTCTTAGATAAAATTTAGGATAAGTCTCATGACATTTCTGTCGTTCTTAGGTAATGTAAATTCTTTCTGTAATTTCAAGGCACAAAGAATCAGCCTCATTTCAGGGGTGTAAATATCTGTACTCCTGTACATAGGCCAAGCTGACTATACAACATTATGCAGGCCCCAGAGCAATGCACCTGTCACAGTCTCCACCCTTTACATTTCTTTCTGCCTGAGACATACGGCAGCAGTCCATTGTGTCTCTCCAGATCCAAGGAACAAATCCCAGGCTTTCGTAACAGAAGAGCTGAAACTCCTTTCTCCAGGCTTAAAGTGAGGTACAAGAACTCTCACCCTCCTCCATGCTGACCAGGAAGCGGGACCCAATGCATACTGATAGTTCTCTCCAAAAATATCT